TCACCTCACAGTACACTGGTAGATAAAGCAGCTTTAAGCCATGTTGAAAGATGTGAAAAAGACTGCACTACATTGCAGCAACAGCCTTTGCCAGAGCACAAACAAATGTTCACAAAACACGCTCAGAGTGCAGCCCCACAGCCCCTCCCTGCAATTGTTTGCTACAGGGGCAAAGCTTTTACAAAAAGGGGCCAAGGTCAAGATTTTCCCTTGTGAGACCACCATCTCCATTAGCTCTCAGTTCACTGGGGTATCTCTTTCACAATAAAAATATATTCTGCTTCTAGTTCCACTTCCAGACTAGCACCATCAGTGAGAGAAGAAGAAACAGATAATTGACCTCCATGTCACTGGGACACATACTTTTCTACTTGTGGTATCCAGCCATGCAGATAGTTTCAGTTTTACCTGCTGAGGTTGATTACTGCAACCACCCCAACAGGACTATAAATATTAAATATAATAATAAATATACAGTAGGAAAACCAAGGTGTAAATAATAAAATGAATGACAACTGAATTCCATTTTAGTTTTAGGGTCCTGGTATTGTGCATGCTGGCTCTCTGTCATGGTTCACTGGGACACCTGAATATAATAGAGCCATCATTAATGCTATTAGTAACACTGACGCTGATGTCAAAATGTCTCCTGTGAAAAAATGCCTACTGAGGTGAATGGAACTTAATTTGTGTTTTTTTCTTGTGATAATAATTCTTTTGCCAAATTGAAACATTTGAAAACTCAACAGAAATGTCTATATCCAGAAACATCCTTGTTACCCAGGGCTGTGGATTATACGGAGTAACCTGGGCTTTGTAAATAGAAAAACAACAGTGCTGTTGAGTTGAGTAATTGTTCAATGCTTTTCAGCTAATGTTGACACGAGAGGAGGGGTGACAAGAAGTCACCTAATTCACAGAAAAAGAAGACAAAAACATTTGCTGTCACCCAGCCTTCAGCAGTGTCTCATATGCAGCACAGAAGCCACTCGACCAGCAAAGACACAGGTGAACCCATTTAAGATAATTAGCATAGCACTTAGCAAGGCAATCAGACATTTGTGTAGCAACAAATTAATATCTATCTTTTATTTATTTTTATTATTGCTAATTTAGACTTAAACTCCACCACTATTCACCCTTTAATCCACTCCATTTATTTGACAGCTATAATCAATAGATACTTTGCAAATAAAACATTTGCATACAATATATTAGATATTAGATATTACCACAATATAAAATATGACACAATGACTAACCTATGATCGTAATACAGCACTCTGAAAGAGGTCACAACTTTGATTTGCATATTTCATTTATGATTACATTTTTCTGATAATATTTGTGCTTTTACTTAAATGTACTACAAGCAGTTTTTAACTGGTTATGAAACAATTTATTCAATTTTATTCAATTTTAATTCAATTTAACACTGATGCCTTTATATGACCTACATAAACAAACAACACCATCAGCAAGAAGAGGAAGCCTATTTCTATATAGTTATTCTCAATGCCTGCTGCTGGTCGAATTCCATTGGATTTTGAAATCAATTAAACAAGGCGGTGAAAACACACACAGGGGGTGCCAGGATCAACAAAGTCTCATAGGAGCTTTAAGAAAGATTTTGAACGCAGGAGTTTTACTTGTAATGGAGTCTGTTCATATTATGGTATTGCTGAATCTGAATACTTGTCACACTACTGCTTTCACATATACCCCTTTAACACCCAGATGACATAAAGGACAAAATTCCATCCAGTAGTTTTTCTGTAATTTCATTCTTTAGGTTGCAGTTTTGAGTGTTTAATAACCAGCTCAAAAAAAAGAAAATATTTTTTGGTGTGATTTGGGTGAACTGACTCTTCAAATTCAGATGATGAAACGTTTTAAATAGTATAGCAGCAATCACAAAAAGCAAATCTGGACTGAATAAAAAAAACAAAAACATCTTAAAATCAAATTCAACTGCCCGCCTCAGAAAGCAGCAGTGAAGCTGAAGCAGGACCCATGGGAGAGGCCCTCAACATGGCAGTTTTTCTTGACAAGCACAGCAGGGCCTGGGGAGGTTTTGGGCAGACAGGAGAGCTTGCAGCAGTCTGCGGAGGCCTCTGGGGGAAGCCGACTGGATAAATAGTTCACTTAGAACCTCTTGCTCTCTAAGAGGTCACCAAGGAAATATGGGATGGAGAGGGAAAATGGAGAGGGCTTTATCTCGCTCTCATAGGATTGCTGCCTGTTTGTATACTAGACTGCTCTATAAATACTGCACTATCTGCTGCACAACTGAAATGATACAGTCAGTCTTGTTCATTTCCTGCTTCCTTCAATGAAAGAACAAAAGTAATTCCACTATATTTGTGTTTTATAAGGACATATCATTTAAATAAATAACTGTACCTTCAAATTTAATTGAACAAATGAATAAAACTATGATCCTGAACTCATTCACTGCAGGTGGAACTTAAACAAGGCCATCCTCTACACACCTTGTTACACAACTGTGTTGTTGTCGTCCAGCAAATTAAATATAAATGGATATGTGATATCAGTGACCTGAGATAAATGTATGCCTCTAAACACCGCCGACCGCTCCCCACATGCCTAGACTGCACACGGACTGTCATACAGTATCTTCACCTGACCTGAAGATTGCTCAGGATATATAATGGAAATGGATACTTTAGTCAGGGCTTCCACATAAATTTACTTGCTGCTCTAAGATAAACTGCAGGTGTAAAGCTTCAGATCGTGTGTCAGATTTCACACTGGAACATTTTACCTCCTGACACAATGATACAGGTAGTAATATACATCAATGGCCACACCAGACGCGGTTCCCCATTTCATTATCAGACCAAAGCAAATCTAAAAGAAGGTTGTGACAAAACATTTAAGCCAAGCTGTACACAAGTCAGTATACTACAACAAAGTCACATAGAAATACAACAATATATGTGAATCAGTTTGGGTTATTTCACATGAGAGCTTTCTCTATTTATTTTATCACTGGTTTGAAGTAGGTGGGGCATAGCTGGGAAAGGGCGATCTGCATCAATCTGGATTATGCAACATTTTTAATCAGAGTCTGATGATAGTGGGCTGTTTGGTTACTGTTAATCAAATCAGATCAAACTACACCCACACGCTACTGATGAAGCAGATTAATAGAGTTTTTGAGTTTTAAATTCAATCAAGATGTGTTTTTTTTGAGGTTACAGAGAAATACTTATGTTCTTTTATTTAGGTGTAATTTTAAATGCAGGACTTTTACATGTAATGGAGTAGGATTACATTGTGGTATTTCTACTTGTGCTTAAGTATAAAACTTATTTCATCCATAGATTGATTCTACAGTCACAGATATGGCCCTCCAGAGAAACAGTGCCCTCCTGAGTTGGAAAGTGATCACTGCTTGTACTCCCTCATCAGACTGCACTGAAAAATAAAAGATCCAATACTGGTACTAATATGGAGCAGTATTATTTCTTGTAAGCTGAACTACTTTTCCCTTTTTTTCTGGCATGGTTTCAGTATTTTGTATCCATGACCATGAATGTTAAACGAATATAATTAATTTAAAGGCTACAGCCGTCATAAATGAAAATTGAGGATCCTCACTACACATGGTTGCGTTCAGAGTTAAAAATGATTAAAAAAATAAAATTTCATTGAGCATAAAAGTTCTTTTTGTTTTGTTTTGTTTTGTTTTGTTTTAATCTTAACACAAAGCCCACCTAGTTACTTACTATCTCTGGAGCTTTCAAAAGCCTTCCTCAGCAGACAAGCATTTGCTGAGGAAATATGTATTAAAAATAATTTATTTTAATTTGATTAAAACAGTTACAAAAACATTAATTCGATCTGCTGCACTTCAGCAATTGAAAGCATAAGAAGACAAGCAACATCATAAACACACACTGATCCTAGGTGTTATTTACTTTTGCATTTCCTGCACCTTGAACCGCTGTCAAAATAAAACCTCATCAGCCAGCAATTACCTATGACAAAATCAGTGACAAACACGGAGTGAGTGGCAGTCTGTACACTGTGTTTGCTTTGTGTCTTTTGTCTAAGGCTTTCATCACACAGCAATACACAGAGCAAACCTGAGCGGCAGATGTCAGCTAAATCCGACCGTTCAAACACGCTCCTCTCCCTATTCATCTAAAATCAGGACTTGAGCTGCTCCTCTACTGAAGCTGTCTAGCTGGAGCAGGAAGTCAGTGATTGTACTTATATTATATTACACACGCACACCAACACTGGGGGGAAACCATGATCCGAGCCTTTGAAGCCTTTGTGTTGACACAGAGGAGCAGTATGTTGTCATTAAGCAATCATGGAGAGGCATTCTTAATCCTTCTCTGTACAACAGGCTGTTCCATTTAATTATATAGAGAAGGAGGATTTATTTGTCTAATATAGCCTCAAATTACAATAAGGCTCAGACCAGTGCTGCTCATGTTATAGATCTGAAGAACATAGCAATAACTTGTTTTTGTGCAATAACCACAAATCATGTTTACATCACATTATTGTTGTTGTTGACATTTTCCCAAATTGCATTTTACATTAAGAGGCCAGTTTATTAGGTATAGGTTCAGTCTAAAACAAGTCTAAAACTGCCCTGCAATAAAAATAAAAATAAACTTTTTGGTAATTTGGTGCTATTTATCTATCTATTTTGCTTTGGTGTTAGTTTCTGAGTTTTGGAGATATCAGTCGAAGAGTCTGCCTTCTCTCAAATATAATGGAACCAGATGGCACTCTACTTGTTGTGCTCATAGTGCCAAAAAAGTACATTTGAATCACAACAGCAACGTCTCTTTACAGAAATCATGACCTGTTTCTTCCAGATAATCCACAGACCTTGTTAGGAGCAGTTTTGTGTAGGAGCTATTTTCTTTCTACCGAACTACTCCCACCAACCGTATCGTGTAGAAGGAAGCGTTTTTTTAAGCTAGATAATGTTACAGCTCATCTCAGGAGGACTACGTCATGTGCTGTCATCAACCACCAAAGCCTAACAACCTTCAAGTCCATACAGTTTGATTTAAATACGCAAGTAAAATGAATGGAAAGCAATGACTGCTGAAACGGTGGGGGAAACACAATCTAACACCTCTGCATGCTTTGAAGAGTGGTTAAAGTCATTTAAAGTTTACTTGATTTGTCTTTAAGGCAAAGACAAGCTGACTGTAAGGTGAGACAGCTTCATTCCACAGTAATGGTTAAACATGTATATGAAGTGAATTGCACTGTTTGTTTTAAGGTACTCAAAGTGTTATCTGAATGGATCCTTCCAGACTGCTCCATATTTTCTGTGACCACACAGAAAGCTCTGGTTTAATCCTATTACACGTTGAGCACAAAGGGAGATAAGAGGTTTATGTCTGAATCTCTCTCTCCCTCGAGACACCAGGAGAGCTACACATTTGGTCATTTTGATACTGTATAGTTGCTGCAGCGTCTGTTGTGGCGCACTGAAAATAAAGACATATTGTTAATAGGATTGCCAGTGAGGGCCGAGGAGACACTGATGATGAATGAAGATCAGGTGAATGACATAATACAGAGATGGGTAAGACAACAATATTCTGTAGTACAATGTAACTGAGGCAATCATACTCAACTATCAACTATAATTAATAGGGTTTGTAAATGTACAATTAACAAAAGAACTTGGCTTGTATATAGTTTTTATTTATGTTGTTGGTCGTTGGTGCTTTTAATATATATTTTTATGAATATCTATATATACACACCTATTTATTCACATATGTGATATGTATTCATTTCCTTTATTTGTTCAGCTTTGTTGTCCTTGTTCTTAGCTGTTATGTTTATTTTTGTTTAGGTATATTGAGAGCAAATTCCTTGAAAGCTGATTCTGATTCTGATAATGATGCCATGGAATATGACCTTTGAGGGAGGGGGACTTTTGAACTTTTGAAGTGTACTTGAAACCAACCAAATAACAACTATTAGTTAGTTGCTGACATCAAAGTGAACAAGAGCTGGGATATTTGTATCTCATACCATCCTGCTTATTCACTAACATGACCTAAAATCTATTTCATTAAATGTTTATTACGGTTTATTCTGAGAATGAAAATCTGATGACATATGGTGATAACTGATGGGTGTTCTGTATGTTCCGTATTTAGAGAGATACTCCAGAAGGCGATTTAAAGCCAGAGGACTACCAGCAGTTCAAGAGTTTGGGATCCACCTGTCTCACTGAGTGTGACAGCGCACAACTACTGAAATTCCTTCAGGATGAAAAGAACCAGGTATTTCACCTCCACCACCAACACAACTGACAGATCTGCTCTATATCCAAACTAGTGGTAGCCACACCTTACACACAGGAAGTGACAGTAGATTGACAGTGTTAATCTGTCAAACAGCACTAAAAGCACAAACACAGTCACACTGCAGCCTCCTGAGCAACAACAGCCACTGAAGCGAGCAGCAGCCACTTCCCTGCTACCCAACTATGCTAAACATGAACATGCAGCCACTACTCTGCGTCTGCTGGCCTCTTGACCTGGAGGTGTGGGGATGAAACAAGCAGATATTCAGTCAGATTTCTCGCTCCACTGATAACCCTCCTCAATACGGCACTCCTCTAAGTGCCCTTGGCTGTCCCATCTCTCCACGCTTTGCGCAGTCGTGTGTAGCTTACTTTTAGAAGCATGTGTCATTTCTTACTCCTTCCTCTCTCAGAGACCAAAACAATCTCTAGGGGTTCAAATGATTGATTACCAAATGAGAAATCCCTGGCTTTGAACATGGACACAGAGGATGAAACTTGGACATGGAGAGACATACAGGCAGTGCAGAGAATGTCTATCACCCACTAGGGGTTGCCAAAGCTTCACTGTGAGTCGCAAGGCCTTCATAGTTTTTTTTTTTTGTTATAAGGGTTATAAGAAAATCTAAACAAAAAACACATAGTAGGCCTATTTTTCAGCGTTTCATTTATTTCTGTGAAGGAAACCTATATAAGATTGTTATTTTTTAAAGTTAAGATTATTACTTAAGATCTAACCTTTGAAGACATGACCACAAGATATAGTCACATTTTGTATTAGAAAACCAATACTGAATTTGTCAAAAAAGAAGCATATATATATATAAAATACATTTTATAAAAGGTTACTAAAAATATCAGGAAAACAAATAATTCATTTCTGTTGAAGAAAAGATTTAACAGAATTTATTGATTTGTTATAGGAATATATGAGATCTTTCAGTGTTCAGTTTGTACACATCTAATTGATAAATTCTAATTAATCGTGTAACCTAGAGTGTTTCAGTCAGTGCACACAGTTTAGCTGAACATGCAACAATGTCAAAATTGTAGTATACAATTTAATATATATGATGAATTAATATTTACTTTGGAGTTAATGCTACCTTTATTTTTGACATTAGTATTTTTCCCCTCTAATTAGTACCAAATTATAATATTCGTTCCAGACAACAAAATATTAGGAAATTAAATAGTTTCTCAGCCATCCAACATTTTCTACATGCATATACCAAGAGCTGCTGTTTAGGTCCATTAATTGTAGGCGTTGGTGGCTTAGAGAAGCTCTGCAGCTCTACCATCTTGAAGATACCCTCCTAGCACACATCATCACGCTTTTTTTTCAATCTGTTATAGCACACTTTAAGTTGCAGTTGGTATTTATGCTAACCAAGTGTGAAATTGCAGTTGTTGCTGCATGCACCTGTTTATGCAGCGACGCATGCAAATGGGAAGGAAGGGCTGGGCAAACCTTCAGCAACAGCATCTGTTTCTCTGGTTACTGATTAAGTATGATGATTGTTTCCTCTTGCACTCAGGGCATTGTGAAGTCTATGGGTTGTGTTCTCATGGCACCTCTTGTGAATGAAGTTGTTAGAAAGAGAAAGGGTCTCGATCACTGCCAGGCTGCCATCACATATCTGACCAAGGTAGGTACCACTAATTCATCTTTATAAAGGGACATGCTTCCTTTACAATATGCTTAATGTCGGCTCTGTTGTCTAGACGTGCAGCCCAGATGAACTCCTGCATAGCTTGCTGGAACTAATTGAAAACATTGACCCAGGAGCCATTTCTGAGACCATCTTAGCCCTTGTTCCACATCTTCAAACAGGTAACACAACTCTTGATGCAATGCTATCACACATCTTCAACCCACAGAGAAAAAAAGCACCACAATTACACTTTCAATGACATTGACAACTGTTGCACAATGAATGAAGAGTTGATGAGCCTTTATATTGCTTACTACTTCAGATGTATTCATGGATGGTTTACTGATCAAGCCAAAGCAGCTGTTTAAAAAAAGGTGTTTGGCTCCCCCTGCTGTATGTTCATGTTAACTAACAGCAACCTTGTGTCTTGAAAAAGTGCTGCTCCGGCTGGAGGACAGAAAGTCAACCTATCTGGGCTTGGCTCTGTCCGCCCTGCAGAAGCAGCTGTCCCGGCTGCCTGTACCTTACAGTCAGCAGCAGGAGGAGGATGATGAGCACGGTCTGTGTCGCTGCTGCAACGCCATGGCTGCATTCACAAAGCCATTCGTAGAGGAGGTGAAGAGGAAAAATGGAAACTACATGACCAGTTCTGAGGATGAGGAGCTGAGGACTGTGCTCCTCAAGTTGTAGGTTTCTGTCTCTGCGTTTGGTTGGGTTACAGTAATTGGGTGTTAAATTATTATTTTAGTTTTTTTATGTGCTTATTTTTATCATTATTATTTATATTCAATAGTAATAGATTCAATATTTGCTATATTATTTTCATTTTTAGTGTAGTTATTTCTGTTGTAGTAAAGAAAAGCTTATAAAAAGCAAACGTGTTATTTTAGTTTAGACAAGACAATTAGAATTAGCTAGTTCAGTTTCAGATGTTATTTTTATTTTTTTTAAATGGAGGTTAAAATAATCATCTTGGAGTAGAAGCACTAATGTTAAAACAGTTGTAAAAGGGTTAGTGTTGATTACCTGCAGCTGCATGAGGAGCTTGAGAGATCCTTTGCTCGAGGCTGAACTGAACAGAGACAGAAGATCCTCACTGTGGCTCTTTGCAACAGAGATAATGGTGAGAGCAAGTTTTTCTTCCTTTTCTCTCTCAATGGGAAAGCAGTCGAACAATGTGCGATGTTTCAGTGTGCTTTTATTACTTTAACAATGTTGCCATGCATCAGGTCACGCTACCGGCAATCCAAGAGTCCCTCTCAGAGCTCCTGTTCTTCAACTCTCTGAAGAAACAGACCGACAACAGTCAGTCCAAGGAGTCGAGAGCTTGTCTGGCCTATCTACTGTTTGTCCAGCTCATCACCATAGACAGCTTTCCAGCAGTATTCAGGTGAAATTAAAACTGACCGATGATGCAAATTCTCCGACACACAGAATAAACAATGCCTTATTGTTACTGTACTGTGACAAACTATTTACATTGTACCGTTTTCCTGCTGTTCCAGTCCTGTATTTGTTCTTCAGTGCAACATGGAACACATCAATCAACTACTCAGTAGGTACGCTGTCAACACAATATGAGCTGAATATAATTCTTGTTTTAAAGTGATTGATTTCCTAATTTATGTTGTGTTTTTAACAGCAAAAAGGAATCACACTTGCTCAAAGGACTGGTAAGGCTACATCAACATGCAGAAATATTTCTTAGAGATGAGATTAGACAAAGTGCGAATGCAGAAAACTGAGGTAATTTAGCTTGTGTGTATTGTCAGGCACTGTATGCAAAAAGCTTGGAGAGTGTGCAGGACAACAGCCTTCCAGTGAGTCTACTGGAACTGAAGAGCTTCTACAGTGTGCCACGGGTAAGACAAGCAAGTCATCAGGCTCAGTTTTACAGTTCAAGTTGCATTATTACATACCATTACATACATATCTGAATTTTGAGGTGATGACACTTAAACTGGTTTATCATAGTCAAACTGTAGATCGGTTGTAGGATCAAGCTTTTTGTAAATATAATATTTTTCACAAAATGTAAAGCAAAAACTCTTTACTACTACAACTACAATTATTATGACTAGAATATCAGTAAGCACAATGGGCCAATTGGCATGGTGACCTACAGATGTAGTAGATCCAAGTCAATGAACTACAGTATATGGGTACTTATGACCAATCAGTGACCTGTGGTGCACTGACATTCACAGAACCTG